AAAGATTGGTCTTGTTCATGGTAATTCTATGGGTTCTAGGAATTGAGTTATACGGAGGATGTGTGTACTATATATGCTTGAATTTTGGAATCCTTTTCTCAAGATTGTATCATTGATGTGTAATAAAATATTACATAACTGATTTGAAAATATTAGAAATTTCAAAAGATTTGATGCAGTGAACCTCGAACGGCGGACCATGGAGAAAGCCTGAATTTTATATTTTCATTTTCTAAATTTTGCACTGTTCTTGTAAAATTTATTTTTCAAAATAAATTCAATTAAAATAAAAAACAAATTTTCCTACCGAATACTGGAATATAAAATTTTTGAAAATGAAAATGAAGAAGATTCAAAAAACAGCATTTCTATTATTATGATTTGCCAAAGATGACTACAATTTTCAAAGAAAACGAGACCATTATCTCTGAAAAAAAAATGTAAAAATTCCAGAGGTTTTTCAGATAAATCTTATATACTGTATGGTACATATATGGTGCAAGTAAAAGCACATCGTACGCAGCGGGATGCACATTGTTTCGTCTCAGCACGGACCGCTTGTTAAAAATATCCGGTGGAGGCGTAGGAAGAAAGAAGGAGCACCGTGGATAACAGAGAGGAACAGAGGCTACAGTGTTCGTTCACCTCCAAGACTCGCCGTTCGACCAGTCTCGATTCGCTGCAACCGAAGGCTGCATCTCGCGGGGATTCCGCTACTTCCTTAGGAAAATATTTGCCTTAATTTCGAGCGTCCTACCGTGTTTCCTTGAAACGAATCGAACCTGGTTAAAGAATCCTGACGCGGGCAAACAGAAGAACACCTGATGGGATCAACATTTTTCATGCTGCGTTATAAATCAGGAATACCGAGAGCCTTTGAGATTCGTGTTTTAATATCCTGTAGGTGAAATTGTTTTAAAATAATTCGGAGTATCTTAGTAGCTTTGAAAGTGGTTTTAGCAGAAACATACTTCATTATGCAATTCATTAAAAATTTAACTGAATATAAATAATAATGATATTTAAATAGTGGTGAGATGGAGATAACTGCATATTTTAAGCTATAGTGCAGAAATGTTATTTTTAATTTTCTCAGAAAACAAAGCAAGAGGATTATAGAAGGATAGGATATGAGCTACTTCAAAAAATAAAATGAAAAAATAAAACTTTATTGTATGGCGGACCATGGAGAGAGCCCCAATTTCAATATAATTTTATATATCAATACTTCCAATTTTAATTTGATATTAAATTGACTGAAATCTTAGTTTTTAGAAAGGAAACTTGAATATAAATGTAAAATTATTGCACTGAATAACTGCCCTCGAAGGAAAATAACTAGAAGGCTAATATGAAGAAAGGGTGTTCCAGAACTTAAAAATATTGCTTGTGAAGGGAACCATCTATTCTATTTTACTAAAAGTTACCTCGTTAAATCTTCCCTTTTATTCCATAGAGAATAAAACCAACAGTCTATCATTTAAAATATAATTATTAATCATCTGTGTGTTAAAGTTTGAATTGCAATCGCACAATACAAAAAATATGAAATTATAAAATCCAATTCATTTATTAAAATTGCAAGCAGACGTGCACCTCGTCACATATACTAATCTTCCCCCTTCATTAATTTCTTCTTATATAAAAATTAAAAAAGAAATGACAACTTCCCGTATTAAATTGAAAATTTTATAATCTCATGATTCTATTTATAAATATTTAATATTATGTATCAGAAGATTTATTATTAATCCTCGAAATCTGTTCGTATGTTTTAAAACCGTCGGAAATCGAATTTCCACCCGCGTTCCACCAACATTTCCAGAGGAACATGCAATGTATCTTGTTAAGAGGGGAAAAAAAAAGAAAACCAGAAATTCCATGGTCGACATACGGTCCGCCTCCGGGACGAAACGACTTCTACATAGATATGCACGGGTTCCTTACTACTCCAGAACCCTGAAGACCATCTGTCGTGTAACTTAAAGATGACATCCGGTGTCATTATTCCTTCCTCGGATACTCTATCTTTCTACCAATTGTAACAACAATTTTCCAATGAATTATTTGAATCGCCCTAACGAAAACCCAAGAAAAAGCTTAATTGCTGATAAATAATAGAAGATGATGAGCAAACCAATTATTAAGAATGACAGTGATGTGGAAATCAATAAAAATGTTTAGGTCAACAAAAATAAATTTGATTTTTAATTTAACCCTTCAAATAACTATCAAACCTCTAAAAGCAACATCGCCTCCATTATTTACCCTCCCATTTTTCCAAAAGAAAAATCTACCCTTCTATCGACCCAGAGGGTAAAATTGTCCAAGATATTAGGGTTAATGTCAAACACGAGTTTCGAAGGTCAACGTGGTCGTTAACACAGGGACTATACACACATGAAAGTAATGGCCCGTCTACCTGTCCACACCTGCCGACTTGAACGTGAATGGAACTTAGCGGGACTTAACGTAGGCACTGTACGATAAAAAAAAAAAGGAAAAAGTGAAAGGCGAGGCCTCGCTGTTGAACTTGTACAGTGAAAACACTGAGAACGGGAAATGACTTTGACATTGGCAATGGCGAATGACCATGTTGCAATCTTCCGCGAGGCAGTGTGTCAATTGCAAGACCGCGAGAAATTTGCGCATTAACAGTGTTTCTAAATTAACGAACCAAACAAACGGATGAGTTAGACGCGTGTGATAATAATGAAAACAGCTATTGTCATCTAGTTGTCATGAATCATTGCTATTATATCTGGACAATATGATTTCAATGGATGAGTGTATTCTGCAGAATCTGATACAATGTGGCTTGTGTAAATGATCAAAGCCACTGAATTATTAATCATTTACCAATTAACCTGGGGCGAAATAGGTCGTTTAGAAAATCTAGAACTTTGAAATTCTAGAGTTTCAGAATCTAAAAATTTTGAAATTTTGGAACTATGAAATGTAAGAAATCTGAAATTTTAAAACTGAAATTCTGGAATTTTAGAAACTCAAAATTTTTAAATGGTAAATGCCCACATTTTTTTAGAAGGAGCCACTCCAAATTTTTACAAATTCTGATATCTAATTATGGGTCAAAGTGACTCTGCATCCGTTTTTCAAGAACTAATGCAATTATGTTTTAATTTAGTATCAAAGGTAAAATTACTCGCTCGTCTTTGAACTCACTGCAACAATTGCTTTTGTAACAGATCACTTGCTTCGCGATCAAACCTTTGCTCTTTCGACTGGAACTTCACTAACAAAATTAAAACTCTTGCCCGTGGCAAGAATTAAAGGTTAAACGAGCTCAATCATATTTTCCACCGATAGAAAAAAAAAAAGGAATCGTGGATGTTCGGTAGCGAACAGGGAATGAAATAAAAGTCGTGAAAATCGAGTTTTCGAGGAGCGAGCTGGCAAGTAGTTTGTTGAATCGATCGAAGCGAAAACTAGCCCCGAGCGAAAACGTCCTGACGATTTTTGTCGCAGCAACAAGTTGGTGGGTGGGATCCGTTCGGTCTACCTTCGAAGCTGGATACGCATTATTGTAATATTCAACGAGGCGAATTCAAAGGAATCTCCGGGGGATTTAATATAGATCAGTCCATTAACTAAACACGAGGCGCGAACCGTGAAAGGCTCAACACTTTATCAATAGAAATCGCGTTCTAACGGTGGATCGTGGGAAGAACTGACTTTCAAACGTAATAATTTGTTTTAATCAAAATATTATTTACTATTTGCAAATAAAATGATCCAATCTAATATTTAAAAATTTTTTTAATTAATGAAAAAGGATTTTTTTAATTTTTCATGATATTTCTAGACTAATATAAAATTTCTAAAACAATTGATAGAAAGTAATTTAACTTTCAATAGCAATTATGAGCTTCTCAAGTTAGAAAAATTCTAAGGAATTCCTGAAATAATATAAAATTTTGAAAATGCATTAAATTTCAATAGCAATCAACAAAATTTAAAAAGAAAATTCTAAAGAATTCCTAAAGTGATATATGACAATGCTAAAAATGTGCTAAAGTTTATTTATGGAAGGTAAGGTAATTTTGAATGTCAAATGAAACTCATAAAATGCTCCTACTTTCAGTATTAAACGAATTCCCTTAAATCACTGCAAAACTAAGTGTTGTAAAATTACATAATGATAGCACATTTTATTACACTTGTAATCACGTCCTTATGAACAAACGTGTGAAAAAAAAAGGTCAAGAAGAAAGGCTGTCCAATGGACAAGAGAAAGACTGGAGTGGCTTTCGATTTTATGTTGGCCAGCCCTCTTTTATTACGTCATTAATTAACAGAATCATGCGAGACGGTGCGTAAACCTCGCCATAAAGGTTAATGTAGAAAGGACCCTAAAATTAAGTGATTCACTCGCGTCGACAAAAAAAAATCTTGTTACAGTTTTCATTGACAATTTAACGACGACATAAAAGAAAATTAATCCTAAAGCAGTAGAGATTCTCAAACGAAGGACTACCATGAATTTTGAACAAAATGGCGCTCGAAAAATAGATTAAACCCCAGACAGCAAAATATTGTCCTTGCAAAATATTTAGTTAGAAAATTATTACACATGATTTGATTAAAGAAATAGAGCGAAAGAAAATTTAATTACAGGCATAAATAACAAGGTTAACCAGATTAATTTAAAAGTAACCTTCACAAACCGTCAGAGTGCGTTGCAAACGTAAGTACACCATATTTGATTTCGTAATATTTATACACGCTAATCTGACGGATACAAAATATTCCACGGTATGGGGTTACAATTTCCGTGAGAATTTAATAGCATGGAAGGTCGCAAACTTCACGGTCGAGCAAAAATTTCAATGCCCATTTTATTGGACACGCGAAACGACGAACCGTAACCGTTTCTACGGTTCGAAAGTTGAAGGACGCGCGACATTCACCGCGCTTCGTGCGCCCGTAGAAATGAGCGCGCATGGCGGAACAGACGAAAAAGAATAATGGAGCACGCTTACCTGAGACAAGTCGGAGTCGTCACGAATCTTGGCGTCCATGGTTTGACTGGTATTGATACCGGTCGCAGCAGCGATCAGAAGAATCACGGTGAACAGGCAGCTCGTTGACGACATCGTTCACCGGTTAAATGTTCACTGATCCGAATGTCACGTACGCACGATATTCACCAATCCACTTGTGTAAAGTACGGCACAGAACGAAGACGGTCGATACACGCGATCAATGACACAAGCAACGGATAAAATTGTTAGTAAAGTCAACGCGCACTGTTCGTTCAACGCGTGACTTTCTAAATAAAGCAACGACGCTTTCGGATCGCGCACGAGCCGGTCTACTGAACGACGAAACTGTTCGGTACCACGATAGAAACTGTCGAAGGTTACGATTGACACACTGGACGAGTCACGAAAGAGGAAAATCAACTGACTCCCGCACTCTTTTCCTACGACGTGTCAACGATACGGAGGATGGCGCGGAACTGCGCCCTCTCCATGCCTGGACCCCCGTGACCCCCACCACACCGCCGAAACGAGTCTTCGGTCTTCCGTACCGTCGTCTCCCCTCGGCCGCGGCCGACTTTCCCCCTCCCTTTCGCTTCGCGTCCCTCGTCATACGCCACAGCGCACACATACATAGACGCACACACGAGCATACTGGCCACTGGTAAGTGATGATCATTCAATCCTTTTCTAATTTCTTTTTTAAAAGATTAGTAGAATCTTATATTTGACTTTCTTAATGAATCTTGCTTAATTTTTGAATCTTAAAATTTTATATTTGACTTTCTAATGAAAAAATATGTAATACAACAACATCGTGTTGTATTATTTATTAAAGTAGCATTTACAACACGACGTAAACCAATTCTGTATGTATAAATGTTTTAAATAACATTAACACCGGTGTGAACGACTTTTGCATAAACAAAAGCACGACACGCAACGTACTTCTGGCCACGATTTATTTGAAGTCATATTTTGGATATAAATAATGGATATAATACGGTTTTGACGTTTGATAAATAACGTATTTCGGCTGAATTGATTGAAACGAATGACGGGCGAACGGGACACGGCGCAATATGATTTATTCCAAGAGGGAATAATGGGAGCACCGTGGTTGTAAATATGTTTCCATGAAGTGAGGGTGGAAAGGATCAGTGGACAATTAAATGGGTTCATCGAAATATGATCTTTCTTACAAGATCTCTTCTAAACTTCAACAAATACGTCTTAAATGGTGTTAAATAGCAAAATAAAGTATGTTCCCAAAGAGCAAACGAAGCATGTATTAATTGAAACACGATAGAGCAATAAAGGATTATTTTCAATAAATAATTACTAATTATTAACGCCGATATGTTTAAATATTTTCATTTCATTAATACATGTTTGACTGTTTGCAAGATTAATTACAATATCAATCAAGACTCCAATATAATGTATTTGACTGCTTAAATTCTGTATTATTTGAATTATTTTACATAACATTTGTTAACTGTAAAGAAGTATCACTATTGCGTACTTGGATTATTTGCACATAATGTGTACATCTTTTCCTCAAAATTTTCCGTTTTGCCTGAGAATATCCCATGCACGTAAATATTATCCGTAGAGCCTTGACCTCTCAAGAATGTTTTGGTAAATATCTTCCTCTTAGAAGCAGAACGAATATTATGGATCTTACGTGTACTGAAATTTTAAATGTTGGAATGTTATTTTCCTTCTTGATGACTCACAAGACTTCAGGATCTCAAATTTAAATTTGTAACAAATTTATATTTGTTACATATTACTTTCGATGATATTGTTTATTAAAGTATCATAATGTAAATATAATGATAATACTTCGATTTTTATTTACAATTATCTGAATATAATTAAATGCGCTTATTAACGCTTTTTAATATCTTTTTCTTTGTAATAAATATTACTGCCTGTGAAAGAAATCGAATGAAACACACAAAAAAACAGGAAGGATATGAAATTGCAAGGTTAAAAAGAAATAGAAGAGAACGGTTTAACTTGGAAATTGTGGCCATGAGTTCAATACAGAGTTCTCGGTATTCAACCATATTGTCATTTTATTGAAGTTTCTCTTTCTATCCTTTAATAAACTTTGCTGCTGGAAAATTTCAATACAACCGCTCACATAATATCGAAGCCCTATTGATAAAGAACCTTTGAAGTATCTACAAGTTTTTTATAAAGTATCGATGAGAATAATTATTGAACTCCCCTTAATATTTCTTGTGAATAAACTTCAAACAAAATTATATCGTTGTAAAGAGGTCGTTAACACCTACGTCTGCTTGACATAAGTATCTTTTAGTAAAATTTATTTACCTACGATATTTGTAAGAAATTTAAACGATGTTTTTAACCCTTGGACAGTGGCAAGTTAAATTTTATGGTAAATATGGTAAACATTGACATCATTATTTTCAAACGTTAATGTCTTTGAGGTTAGGTTATCAGAGAAAATATGACTTACTATGACTTAAAATATGACTTAATAAAATATCCAATTAAGATTAAAATTGGCTAATTTAAATTCACACTTTGAAGTTATTCTTTTCAAGGAGACTACTGTTAACTGATCAAGTTTTTGCCGTGAGGTAAGTTATATTTTTTCTAATAACCTAACCTAACCTATGTATGTTAAAAAATACAAGCAACCCCCAAATTTTATCAATAGTTTTGGATTCGAGTGGCAAAATTACATAGAATTTACCTTTTTTCAATTGATTTCTCGTTGGGACCCTAATTGTAGACATTTACCGAGATATTATTTTAAACCTACGTTTTCGTAATTGATCCAACAATTGATCACTTTTCTAGGGTTAATAATACAATAATTGTTATAACATTTAAATAGAATTGGAATAATGTGGTACCCATTGGTTTTTTATTAATATTTCTTAGGTGTTTAAATATTTTCATCTCTTCATGGTGTTATTTTAGAGAGTACTCTGGTGTTTTAATATAGTATGTCTTATATCTATATGGTGTTAAAATAGAGCTGATTGTGTGGTATATTTTAATCTGGCTTTACTTTTGTGTTCCTTCAAACATTGCTTGACCATTCATATACACCTTCGTCCTTAAAAAGACCCAGGATCATCCTGTACGTGACATAATCTATCTTTTCCTCGACCAACCACGACGAAGTTTCTAACTGTATCCAAGTAACATCACGTCTACAATCTTTCTTATTTTTCAAGGATTCTTTCAAAGCACCGGATCATCTTTCATTTCAACTAACCTCAAATAAATATATCTTTGTAACAAAGTGAAAAGGATATGGTTTTATTTGAAAAGAAAAATAATCTTCCGAATCTTGTATACGTTTTATGCATCAATAGGGTTGAAAGAAAATTTTAGAGCAGCATCACTGCTCGTTTTACCGACCAATTTATCAAAGTACACGTTCCTCCAGGTTCGACGACGCGACGCGAGGCCACGAATTATCGGTCGACGAAGATCGAGACGGCCAAGTACGTGGTCGTGAATGTAGGTTTAAGTACCCTTACTGATTGCCATTAATTAATTCCGGCTTTACAGCCTCCGACCTTCTTCCGTCTTAGCGCGCCCTTAATACGTGCACTCATAGTCGTGACTTCCGTCATTAATAATCCAGGGAACAAGCGGAACCGTAGCAGTCTCGAGATTGCTCTTTAATATAAAATACTCGCGAAACTTTGCCACGGTAATTGTCGGCGGTGAAATTAAAACACTCGCCGAAAAGGGCGACCGAATCTCCTTGGGTTGGTTACGTATCGCGTTTTGGTTTCGAAACGTCCACAGTCTGACGCGATTTCATGACATAAAATTATGATAAAATAATTCTTGTGATACATTAAATTAAAGCTTCTTGAAATAATTACCAACGAAAATAATTCTTAAACTTTTCCTTCCTTAATGAGCTTCGCAATTTATTCGAATTCTCCATTTCGATGTCCGGCTACTTATGGACGGGTATTGTAATTGTAAACTCGATCGCAAGTTCACCGTGCATTTTCCCAAGTGTAGTGGACTTGGACCGATTCTCGAAACCGCCCGGGGCCAATGAGGATTAAGGAAAGATCCCGATCGCGAATATAAACGCAACGAGCTTCCGTAGAACTTCCCTATTGTTCGCTTGCTCCAGTTGTACACCGACAGTCTTGCTAAGTTTGTCCCAATCCCCCAGGTAATTAGTAGTCTAGATACGCCTGTTTGACCTCACCGACGAACCAATTTCGGCTTACTTGAGCAAGTATACCCCGACAGTTTCCGTTGGCGAATGAAGATTTCACCCTTCACGTGTTCGACAACCCTTTCGAAACTTTGTGGCCACGTATCGAAAGAGAAACGTCATAATATCCACGTTCCTGCTAATTCCATCGATCCAATGTTACGTTTCAATGATTTTCTATGAACAGCTTTGATATGGTACGTTTTGAAATTTAAAAAAAAAGAAAAAAAATAGTTAATCCATGGATTTGATCGAACGGGTGTCATCGATCAGAGGATATTCCACACTCGATCAAACAGTATGGAAACCATTTTTAACTATGTTTGTGTAGATACAGTTTAGGGTGGGTCAATGAGAACTGTCATTTAGGATAAAGTTTTATTTATTGATACTTTGGAAAAAATTTTTAAGTAAAATATATTTCAAGAAGCTCATAGAAAGATTTCTTTTTTCTATTCTAAGATATCAAGATGAGCTTAAATTTTGTAAATAATTAATTACTCATTATACATATTTATCTTCAGAATAGAGATGAAATAAGCCATCAAAAATAAATTAAAGATTTCATAAATACGATAATGACGTACGTTTCGATCAAATGGAATTTCTGATGGAAACGTAAAAAGACGATTGAAATTATCGAACAGCTCGTTTCCACGAGAATCACGGTTTAAACTTTACATCGCGTGAGAATAATTAGGCCACGTGGACGGCTTAATGAAACGTTTTAGCGAGCCTTGTAACTTTTACCTACTCTTTGCCTTGGCTAAAGGCAGTTGAAAATTAGCCTTTTCGTGGCCTCGCGAGATTTAACTCCTTTTTTCTTTGCAGAACATGTACTTTTGCATGAGTTCCATATTATCGTTCGATCGACTGAGCTCTTTGAAATAAAGTCTGTGATTTTTCATGCAACATAATCGTGATACCCTGAATTTCTTTTCAAAAATGATATTTGAATCTTGAAAGAATAATTTTTAAAATTTACTCGCTGATGACCTTATAATTATTCCCTAAAATCTATGTTTTACAGAGGAAAGGAACTTTTGTAAGTGCCACGACCGAATATCCATAAGACACTTCGAAGACATCATCCGTAGATGTTTCACCATGAAGATACAAGGTTCGCCTGTGACGGGGAATTCAGGAATTCCGTTTCTGCCTCGATTTTCAAACTGAACGTATGTGCATGTACTTGGAGGAGAAAAGGTAAGATATGCCTTGACACACTTTAGGGTAACCATTTC